TTGATTATAACCTACATTTAAATCTTTCTGAAAAAAAGCTAATTTTAAACTTTAGGACCTATTTATTCAATATATTGTTGTGATTCCAGTGGTTTTTTATTAAATAAATAAATAATTACTCCGTCAGTTAAATATTACCACAGTATATTTTATACACTATGTATATATAAGTACAATGCCAAAATTGTCGTGACAGCTTGTTCCGTGAGAACGTTATCACAGTCCAAAAAATGATAATTGATACTTGTTAGTGGCCGGCGGCCTGGACCGGTTCAAGGCGCCTGTCGNCCGGCGGCCTGGACCGGTTCAAGGCGCCTGTCGGCCACTCCATATGGCGCGACCTGCCGGACGTAAAGGGAAAGCGCCGCGATCGCCATCCAGTGGTAAAGCTGGAGTCGCGATGCGACCGCGACAATATGTTTTCATTGTGCCTACTTACGTATCTCGATATTTTTAATTATGCTGAGGGAAACAAAAATATACTAGTTTATATAGAATTTTTTTTTATTCTTTATTATACCCCGAAAATTATTCAAGATTTTTTAAGAATAAAAATTTTAAAATGTTTCAAGTTTAAAGCATTTAGTTAAAATAAATGTATATCTATTATAAATATACATAAAACCAAAATAAAATCTCAAAATATTTATTACTAGTTTTGTCATATTATAGTTAAGACAATAAAATAATATGCTTACTTTATACAATTTATAACATTCCCCATTATCTGTAATGATCTTGCAAAAATATCTCTTTTTCCAATGAAGAATATACTTACTTTTTTAAGGCTACGAGTTTCCACAAAGACTGCTCCTTCAATAGTTGCTATTTTAGGCTCTGTCATACCAAGTTCATGAACATTTTCTTCGAACTTATCACATCCCTCAAGAATATCGTTAAGCTTATTGTCTTTAATAACCGCTCTCTCTTTTGTCACCTCTTCTAATTCCGGTATGATTTTAGTTTCTGAATCCTCGTTCTGCATTGTGATAGATTTAATTTCATAATTACTAACTTTATTTAAGTAATACTCCATGACTTCTAATTAATAACATATTAAATTGCAATATTTATCATCTCAGCAATAATTATTCTAAAAATTAAAATAAAAATTATTAAAGAATTTTTTAATATTGATTATATAAATTTATGCTACATTTACATATCAAATAAATGAGTGTACTAATTCTCTGTACGTGTTAAAATGCTAGAAACCGAGAGAATTTCTGTTGTCTATCGTGTTAAGCTAAGATTCATTAAAAAAGTACCTACGCTAGATTATGCTAAGATACTATATCATTTATATTACACTCCCTTTTGGAGAGACAACATGTGAAGACACTTACCAACCGACAAAAGAATCTTTTTGCCTTCATGCAAAAAATCAATGTATCAAAATACTTTTTTCACAATTTATTATGACTGACAGAATTAGTATATAAGCACAAAGAACTAGCTTTCCTAGACCAAATTTAACAAAAATCTAATATGTATTTGAAAATAAACATTAGTGTATCCATATTAAATAATCCATAGCAACATGATTTAGTATTTTTATGATTTGAAGACACTTAAATATTAAATTAAGAGATGATCAAACATACATGTTCAGGAGATCAGTTTTTGAAGAAAAGGATTTAAGAATAAGTAGAAGTAAGACAGAGTATATAGAGTATGAGTTTGACAAAGGAGAACACGAGGTAAGTGAAATGAGGAGGTCAGTGACAATAGGCGAGGACGTGATTGGAGAGATGGAAAGTTTTAAATATTTAGGGTCAGTTGTGCAAAAGAGTGGTGGTATTGACGAGGATGTAAGACACAGAAATAAGTGCGGGTGGTTGAAGTGGAGAGAAGCGTCTGGCGTCTTATGCGATAAAAGAATTCCAATGAGGCTGAAAGGTAAATTCTACAAGACTGTAGTGAGGACAACTATAATGAATTGTTCAGAGTGTTGGGTGATTGATAAGAAAGTAGAGAAGAGAATAAGTGTAGCAGAGATGAGAATGCTTAGATGAACGAGTGGAGTGACTAGAAAATATAATATAAGGAACGAGCATGTAAGAGGGAGTATAGGTGTAGCGTCAATCGTGGATAAGATGAGAGAAAATAGACTGGTTTGTTCATGTTATTAGGAGAGAAGAATCGGAAGCTGTAAGAACAATTATAGAAATAAATTTTGAAGGAAGAAGAGGTAGAGGAAGACCAAAAAAAAAGATAGAGGGATGCTATTGAACGTTGATGTGAGCATAGGTGATGTGGGAGATCGTGTCAAGTGGAAGTTTAGGATAAGAGTGGCCGAACCCAAGTAATTGGGATTAAGGCGAGGAAGAAGAAGAGCCAATATTTACTATTTTTTTTTTTATCAAAAAACGATACATTTATACATCATTTGGCAAGTTAAAGTTTATAAAATTCTTTCAACAGGCGTAAAATGTTTTTAATTCAATTTAATATTTATTTATTATCAAAAGAAATGTTAAGTAAAAAATGTATGTCCATACTAGAAATGTTAATTGAGTTGCATAAAAATATAAATGATTTATTCGAGATTTTGAAATTTTTAATGTATTATTGACAATGCTGTTTTTTGAGCTTTAAATACTGGTTTCAGACAAAAAATGAAAAATATTTTTGTAGCATATGTAACTAACATTTTATATATTTTATTCCAACACATTTTTTGTATTTTTAATTGGTTATTTGAAATAGTAAATGATTTACTAAAAAATTCCGGATCTCTGTAGAATTAAAAATTTATTAAATTCTTGGTGCTCTTGTTTATATCAAAGAATTATTATACAATATTTTAGTTTTAATGGAAAACTGAGACGGAAAGTTTTACTACGATATATTTTTTGTTTGTATATATAGATATAGTGGATATATCTACTGGACTATTATTGTTCAAGGATAAGTCAAAACAATAAAATTAAATTTTGCTGAAATATTCAGCACTAAAATTTTACTAATTTCCCTTAAAATTGCTATTGTGTATANATTGTTCAAGGATAAGTCAAAACAATAAAATTAAATTTTGCTGAAATATTCAGCACTAAAATTTTACTAATTTCCCTTAAAATTGCTATTGTGTATAGTTGTGGTATAAAAAATTTAAGAAACAAGACCGTGTTTGGAGTTAATTATTATTTAAAAAAGGCTATTAAAAAAAAAAACTTAAAGTACTATTCTATAGTCAGACCTATTCTAGAATATGGTAGTGTAGTGTGGGATCCTTATACTGCCTTGGGCTCGCTACAGCTTGAGCGAGTTTAGCGAAAGTTCCTACGCTTTATCAACTACTCGCTCAACATAGTCTGTCCTAATCACGATTATGCCCCTGTCTTGAATTATCTTGAATGAATCATCCTCATTAGCTGAGCGTAGACGCAATGCTGGAATTAATTTCTTAATTGGTTTATTGAATGGCAATATTGATTCGCCGAGCCTATTGTCTCTAATATGTTTCAGAGTACCTCAGTGAGCAACAAGAAATAATGCTCCATTTGTTGTCTCCCACTACCTAACTAATTATGCAAATAATGAGCCACTTAGGCGTCTTATGTCTAATGCCAATGTTGACCCTAATTTTTCATTTTAATTTTGTATCTTTATCTTTATGTTTAATAATTCATTTCATTTTGTATTTTTATCTTTGTGTTTCATAATTAATTTACATATCTTTATAATATATCTTTGTCTATGTTACGAGTACCTAATTTATGTACTTGTATTATTTGTAAAAAGGGCTTCTGCCCGTGAAATTATAAAATAAATAAATAAAAAAAGACTGTGTTTGAGGTAAAAAGATTTATTTAGTAGATTAGCTTTTTCAAGGGATTTGCGATGAGTTTTCTCATAACTAAACCCTAGACTTGTCTTACAAAACAAAATGTGAAGAAAAACTAAGAATTATTTTAGCTCCATCACTAATTTTAATAAAATGTCCGCCTATAATGAGAAAAAGTAAATTTAGCACACCAAAATGTTTGACTATCCTGTCATAAAAAATGCTTTCTACAGCTAATAAAATATCTTGTATACTGTCCATATCTTCAATAACAGTTACTGGAAATGAATTCAGCAAATTGAAGTTAATAAAGAATTTTTTTAGGTCAATTCTGGGTGATTTCTTTTTAGTCAATTATTAATACTAGCATAAAAAAAGACATTGTAAATGAGATGTAGTTAGATCTTATTGTTAAACTATAATTTGTATTTAATATATTAAATACATTTTATTTATTTGTTATTTTCTATTTATTATAAAGTTAATGGTATTTATGTTTAAATATATTTAAGAATAGTATGAAAATGTATTACTTATGTAACAAAATAATAAAGTTAAAAAAGTATATATTTTTTTTCCTAAAGGTCAATCAGCTAAATTATCTTGGTTATCCCTCTTAATAAATTTCTTAGCTACGTCTCTAAACAAAGTATGTATAAACTCTAAAATCTCACTTATGGATACACTTAGTAAACCACCTAAATAAAAAATATACCCCTTTCGGGATTTAGAAAATTTTGGCATTAAAGCACTAAATCCTAGAAGTCAAAATTTCAGATAATTTTTCTTTTTCATCTTCAATAATATTGTATTAGCTTTAATTGAATGTAGGATAAAAATTTCAAATTTTTGGAACACTATCAAAAATTGATGACAAAATTTTTATGATTTTTAAGCCCCTACAGTATTTTGATTAATAATTGTATTAAAAAAAAAAAATCTTTGATAAGGCAAATGTTTGAAATATTATCAATAATAAAGTTGCAATAATTTGTTATTTTCAATATTTTTTTAAGGTTTTTTAATATAGAGTAGAAACTAAAAATATCAATATTAACTATTTTATAACAACTACAGTTTTTTTGAATATTTTGCTTAATTTGGGGATTAGAGGGAATTTTTCAAAATTATGCAAGTGATAGCTTCATTATGAGGTTTTTTGATATATTGATTAAGGCTAAAAAATGAAGCTAAAACAAACTCAAACAAATAATTAGTACATAATAAAACAATGAACATTTATTTTAATATTATACCATAAATGTAACATAACAAACACCATATAACAAGTATAACAATCCGTTTAAATAATGTAATATTTAACCACCATTTACTTTTTGAAATTTATGCAGAACAAAAAGCTTCATAAACATTTGCACTTAAGACTTTAACTTTAGGATCTATATGTACTTCTTGTTTAAAATTACACTCTCCATTTTCAGCTACTTTTACTGATCTATCCAATATGGGCAACCATTTAGCAAATGGCATTTGTACTGAAGTTGGTAAAGTAACAGATTGATTTGGTATGTTGACAGTTACAGTATCCATTAATTTATTAAAACTATGGCAAGTAGAATAACGAGCTACAGAAATAATTTCTTCATTTTTTAATAATTCTTTAGTTTCATTTACCATATCTTGTAATAATGCTTCTTGATTTTGAGATACATTGTGCAAAACAAAAGAATCAATAGAATGAAAAGGACTGTCTGAATCACTAGCTATATCAGTTTGGATAAGGTAAAAGAGTTTTTCTAAATCTTGTAAATTATACTGTTCTTGAATAGGAATTTGTTGAACATATTTAAAAACTTTACTTTTCAAATATTCTTCCAATTGTTGAATACCGTCTTCAATAAAATGACCAAATAAGGATAAATAGTCTTCTTGAGTTTTTGAACAAATTGGTGGAGAGTCTTGAGATAAGCTTTTATATACAAGTCCTCCCAATAAGTTTAATTGAATTTTAAGAGTAATTACTAAAAATGTTTCAGCATAAACTAATAAACATGCTCTTGTAAATACACAAATTCTCATTTCTTCCCAAAGTGATACACTGTTTTTTTTCTTTAATTGTTCAATAATGTGATCAATACGCAAGTTTTTTGTAAAATATTTCAAATGTAACTGTTTAATAAATTCATGTATCATTCGATCAGATGTATTTTCTGTAGCTTCATAATGCTGCTGACGTCTACAACGTTCTAAATGATCACGATTGTCTTTTTCTCGTTTATCAGTTATTTTTTTCTTAACAACATAGACTATGTATGCTGTGCCACATATAAATGCTCCACTAAATATTAATTTACGTTTGTGACGGGAAATAAATTTTTTAACTGTATCGTACATTATTTTTAATCTGATAATCAAAATCAAACGTAATTAAAACCTAAGTTATTGCATAATAAAAACAAACGTACGAATAATCTATCTTTTAATAAATACCTTGTAAGAATAAATAAGATTTGAATAGTTATAATTAAATATTTAAACGGCAGATTAAAATTTATAGAATAATCAGTTTGGATTATTTAAGATAAGTACATGATTTAATTTTGTTTTTATTTTTTTATTTAATAATTACACTGCATTTATCAATTATTAATATAACCTCCAATATCGCCTTAACAACCGATAACTGCAGAAGATTTTATCCTCCAGTATAAGTTATTTACTTAAGATTGAGATCTAATACGACAAATAAAAATTAATTGTTTATTATTAAGATTTATTATAAAACGAAATTTATATTATTGCATAATTTATTTACGTTAATTAAAAGATTATTTCCTTATACCGACATTTCAGGTTTTTTTTATGTATTCCATGCACATGGTTAAGAGTGTTTCTATACTTACCGGTTACCAATTACCAATAATATTCTCTCATAACTCATGCTATATTGTTTAGTGCTTAGATCCTACAGTACATAATGTGTATTCCGATTTCGTTTTCGCTTCTAATTATTTTTCAACTTATTACCTTATTTTAGAAAATTTGAAGGTGTTTACGAATTTTACAGTAATTTTATGAATACAATTTTAAGAATCGATAATTGTTTTGACATTTTTTATATTACACTAACTAACTGAATTGTTTTAGTTTGTATGCATGCGTAAATTTAATGTATAAATTGTGTTTTTAGTTTAAAAGCTTTTTAATTTAAAAAATAATACTAAAGGTAAAAATAAATTTAATAAAATATTGTGAAAATTTTTGGGGGTTTTTAGTTAAAATTATTTCTTGAATTATCAATTATAAATTATTTTTAACTTCATTATAAGGGACAATATCTTTTAAGGATATCATGTTTATTTTTTAAATATTAATATACACATATAAATAAATAAATAGTTAGACAATTATCCAATAATCAACGACTAATTAACATGAGCTAAATCTATTTTTTTTTATGTTTTCTTAGTAATTTTATGGCAAATTTGAATTTGATGGATTCCGTAGTAGATTCAACTCAACAAGAATATAGTGAATCTCACAATGACATGGTTTCGTTAAATGATAATATGGACTCTAATGATCAAGATAGTAATATGAATTCTGATCAACAAGATGACATGAACTCTGAAAACTATGAATCTATTGATAATATGTATAATCATGAAAATAGACTTTCTTACAGTGAACATGCAGATATTGATAAATTAAATGATCAAGACAGAAAATCGTATAGGTGAATATTATTTATATTTAATGAAAGATGAGTGAAAACAATTTAAACACTTAAGAAGTGACAAATTGTTCAAAAACTTGAATAGTATGTTTAATTTTAAAGATTTGTAGTATTATACTCTGAAATATTTGTGATGATCAGTGTAGGGTTAAATACTCATTTTTTAATTATGCATAGAGAAAAATTATTTGACTTGATTTTTTTTTTAATTATCTTTTTTAGGAGAAATTGATTTTACTTTAGTTAAATGTATTTGTAAGAGATTCTAGGATTTGTGTTTTCCATTTGTTAACATAAGAGAAATAAAAAGTAATTTTAATCTCACAATAAAGTAAGAGTTCCCCTTTAAAAAATTAAAGTTCAAGATTTTTTCCAGGGAGATGAAAGTGAAAACATTGTAATAGCTTTTAATATATTTGTTTAGTTTACCAAGTATTGTCAACTATATTGTCTATATTTTTATTGCATATAAAACAAATTTCAATACTGAAAATATTTTTTACTTTATGGTTTAGTTGTGATAATTATGATCTTATAATTTTATTAATATCCTTAAATAATTGTGGTTATTTTAGGTTATGATATTAAAACTTTGATACACAACTATTTTTATCCTTCTTAGGGATGTCCTTTCAAAAATATTCTGAACAACCAGAACATACTATTACCAAAAGACTACAAAAATCAATTAAATTATAAAAATAAAGTTGATAATGATCTTAATGTTATTATAAACCGCAGTTCTAACATTACCCCTGAAAATTTAAGCAAACTAATTCCAATTTTATCTTATTTTCAAGTGGCACAAAATATACTTTCTTCTTTTTATATGCCAATAATCCTGATCCTGGATCTTATCCTCTAAATCTATTGCTTCCAGTCTCACTAGATCCTGGCGCGCTCCTCTTTTTATCATTTCTTCGGTCTGCCTATAGGTCTTCTACCTGTTGGTTTGTATTCAATTGACGCCCTTACTTCATTAATTTCCTTTCTTCCAAACCACTAGATTCTCTGACCCTTCACATAAATTATAATAAAAGGTACTTAGGTGATTGCCATTATTTCTGAATTTTTTTTTGGTTGCATTCATTTGGTTGTGGTGTTAAACACTGGTCCACAAATTACTCTTAGTACTCTATTCTGAAAGGTTCTGAGTTTTTGTTCAATTTGTACTGTCATTGGCCTTGATTCACATTAATAAGTTAATGTCGGCCTCACAATACTCATATATAGGCATACTTTTGTCTCTCTAGAGAATCGTTTTGACTTAAAATATTTTATTAGTACAAAAAAAAGTCCTTTCCACTTTGAGCAAGTGACTAGTTATTTCAGCACTCCAATCATTGTTACCAGTAATTGTTACTCCTAAATATTTGAATTTTGGACTTTCTTGAATATATAGTTATCTACTGTAAGGTTTTTCTCACCTCCAACAGCCAACGTTTCCATTATTTTTGTTTTCTCTTCATTTATTTCTTGATCAATCTTTTTGCTTGCTGAATGAGTGTATTTGTATTTCACACTATCATTTCTTTGTTTTCTCCTACTAAGTTCAGATTGTCTTCAAAACCTAGCACATCTAGCGTGGTTTTGCCAATATTGATTCTGAGTTTATTAATTTGTACACTGTGTATCCCTTTACCTAATGCTATGTTGAATAATAATGGTGATAGTGCATCACCTTGTTTAAGCCCTCTCATCACTTCGAATTCTTCTAACTCTGTTTAGTCCACTCTAACTTGATATCCATTCATACATATTTTTATCAGTGATATGAGTTTTTTAGGGAACCAAACTCATACATTATATTATATAAACTATCGCGATGGATGCTATTGTAGGCTTTCTTGAAATCCACAAACACTTGCCATACTTTTGTCTGTACTCGTAGTTCTTTTCCATAAGCTGTTTGATAGTTGCAAGCTGGTCTATTGTGGACTTATCATTCCAAAATCCACACTGATAGCTTCCTATATACACTTTGGCCAGTGGTTCCAAACGTCCTTATAATATTTTAGAAATAACTTGTATACTGTATTTAGTAACAATATTACTCTATAATTATTGCAGCTCATCTTATTTTCTTTCTTATAAACTAGAATTACTATAGCTTTGTTCCATTCTTCAGGTAGTTTTTCTTTGTTCCATATGCGTTTGCACAATTCATAAATCGTTTTGTGCAGTTCTATTCTGCTATAAATTATAAGTTCAGTTGGTATTATGTCTGACCCTGGGGCTTTCCAGTTCTTAAGCCAGTTTATAGCTCTATTTGTTTCATCTAATGTTATTTCATTTGTTTCTTGTTCCACTCTTTGGTCTTCTCAGGCTGGTATTGGTGTACCTGCTATCTCCCCATTCAGTAATTCTTCAAAATATTATTATCTAGATCAGTGTTTCCCAACCACTTCGGCTATATTTTATAGGTCCCGGACCTCCTCAATTTTATGAAAACTAGAAAGACCTTTTTTTGCTCATTAACAAGAATACACAAAATTTATCAAAAAATGTTAATTTTTATTACTTTACTTTACACTTTATTACTGTATTTAACTAATATATAATTATACTTTACTATACAAAATAATTTACTTATTGTGATTTTTGTGACTGCATTTCTTTATAGTATAAATGTTTATTTTCTTTAAAAATGTACTGCGTGGTAATCAAATGAATAACGATCGCATACTGAATCAATATCCATAACTCAATATCAATGGGTAATCATAAAGTATAAAATTTATACTATAAATATATAAGCAACGATGTTTGTAATTGACATAATTATTATCGGTCGCGATAATTATAAATCTGATACCTATACACTTATGAAAAATACTATTATACAGAACCGTATAATATTATACGGTTCCTCAATAAGCCGTTATTTTTTTTACTATTTAAAAAAAAATATTTATAATAAAAATCGAAGAAAAAATCTATGGGACCGTGCACCACCCATTGGGAAACACTGATCTAGATGTTTTCATTTGTGGGTCCAATAATATTCTGCTGTTTTTATCTTTTATGGCTTTTAATGTTGGGTTAAACTTTTGGTGCTTTTTGACAACTGCAAAAAAATTTCGGATTCTGCCTTGTGTGTAATCTTGCTCTGTATTGTGTAGAAGCCCGTTCAAATAATATTAATAGTTATGTTATTACAAATAATATAAAAACTCATTAGGATGACACAAATTCTCTTGCTGCTCAATTCACTTCATACAAAAGTTTCAACTAAACACTTAGATTCTTCCACCTTATATTCCTTTAGAATATGAATGGCTTAAAACAACATACCAACAAACTTTTACTTTATACATAACAAAAACATAAATATTGCCCTTATTATGGAAACTGATCTAATCAAAAATTCAATTATTGACTTCAATGGCTATTCCTTTATTAAGTTAATTATTAATTGACTACCTTGACGGAACTTAACATGATTAAGCTTTAATAATAATAATTAGAGTCATAGTTACAGTCTTGTGTTTGTAATTATATTGATATACAGCCAGTATATTTACAACCACAATCCTGTAACTATCACTCTGAAGATAGACACTGCAATGAGTCCGAACTCATAACTTAAAACGTGGATACATCCATAAACCAATAAATATACATCCTATTCAGGCTTTCCAATCAATAACCTTAAGATATAACACATATCTTTGATACATAACAACTATTGCCCTTCATAGTGTTTTAAAAATACCCACTATTGATGAACTCTTATCAAAGACCATTACAAAACATTCTGCATAAAACTATTACATCACCCAAATCCTTTCATCAACTCCATGTCATCCAACTCATTCCCTAAAATATTTTTTGGAATTAAATAGAAACTGGCCTAGAGATTAACTTTAATCGTAGTGAAATAATTATTACAAAAATGTATATACAGAGTATATTATCCTTAATGAATCATTGTGTTTATTAATTTTGAGGTTCTATTGCTGGACGGTTTTCTCATCTTTTTGTTTAAGTCTTTATAATAAATTTGAGATTTTCATTATTATTTATTATTTTGTTTATTCACAAATAAAAAAAAAAACAATTTTTTGATAAATTTTATTTTTTCTAGGCATTTAGAAGATGATAAAGAACATTTTGATAACAACTTAAACCCTTCAGATCCTAGTTTTAAAGGTCCATCAAGTTGGAATTCTGATAAGGGAAATAATGATGGTGGAAGGTTTAGAAATAATGACTCGTATGAGTACAATAGTCCTAATAGTAACTTTAAACAGAAGAGTAGATGGTCATCAGAAAATGCTGATGAAAATTGGAATGGATCATCTCATGATACTTCACCTATAATGAATGGATCATCTAATAGTCAAGGGGTTCCACAGTTTGGAGGACAAGTAAATGGGCAAGATCCTAGTCAACCAGGATGTCCACAATCTAACCAGTTACCATCATTATTGCAGGTAGTTTTTAAAGTGATATTTATGCATTAGTTTTTACAATATTCATTGTTAGAAAAAAAAAATAAATATTAGAAAAATGAATTATATTTGTTAACAAACTAGTCACAAATTGTTATAACTTAATTGCTCCGTTGAAATTGATCATGCAACAAGTAATAGGTTAATAAAAAAATTATATTATATACATTTGATATAAATATTTCTTTTTTACATTAATTTTTAGGTAGAATGCAATAAAAGTGGGAAAATTGAATGGATTAAGTATTAAAAGGATTTTTTTCAGGGGGGCATTAGACACACCTTAATTAAAACTTAAGAAAGTTTTATTAAAAAATTTAAAAAAATCAAAATTAAAAAAAAAAATTATTTAATCAGCACAAATAATTTGTTCACTCATATTTGTTGCTTTGATATTGCCCTAAATTAGTTTTAGTATGGTTATAAAAGTCTTTGAATACTTGAGCATATTTTTAGACAGTGTCTTAGGCTCATATGATCTTTAATTGAAATTTAATTGAAAGCAAATTTTGTCATTTACAAACAAGATAAAAATTATTGATGTTTTAGAAGAATACATTTTATAAGTAAAATGTTTTCTTCTAGAGAATATATATATGTGAGAAATGACAGGCAACAACAGGGACAAAACAAAGACACAATACTATTATTTACAATATATATTATTATTCACTAACAAAAACATATAAAAACTAAATACACATATGAATTAAAATACACACAATGACAAAAACACTTAGCCCATTCACGACTACTGACTCACAACTTAATTTAAGTTTCCCTAATAATACTAAATAATACCGCTATCTGCCTTCAGACCCTAGAAGTGGCATCATCTAGACATCAATGGTACTCACATATATTTAAATCTAAGATTTATTTTCCGTAGACATATAAATCTGATATATAAATTTTAATAAATTCTTTTGTTAAGTATAAAAAAACTAGTAGTATGCATTAAATTATGTATTTTAGTGCATGCTGCCATCTTATAAAATATTGCATTATTACAATTAATCCTAACTATCTATATTATTTATTAACAATTTATACTGTAGATGCCACCTGTACAACTACCAGTAGGGGGGAGTGGTATACCACCGCAAAGTGGTCCTCCAGTTATGTCGGGAGAAGTATGGATTGAAACTAAAGCTGGTGATGGTAAACCTTATTATTACAATGCAAGATCACGTGAAACCACATGGAATAAACCAACAGGACCAAATATTACTGTGATATCTCAAGAACAGGTAAATAGTAGCAATGCACAATTTTTTTTTGATTTGAAGCTAATTAAATTTTTTTTAAGGTTGAAACTCTTGGAAATCCAAATACAGCTCAAACAAATTATGGAAGACCCAATGATTGTGATCAAATTTCTAATGATCCAAATAAGGCTGTTGATGAGAAAATGCTTGGTGGTAAGAATTGATTTTCTTATATGATTAATTATTTACTAATAAACATCTAGCTATTGATAAAATTTATTTCCAATGCCCTTCAAATAAAGATATTATAATTGGGAGAAGAAAAATTGTCTTAAATTTTTGTTCTTAAAGAATTTGTGAAATATAGAACCAATTTATTTATGTCATTTATACAGGGTCTTAATAGTATATAATTGTGTGATAATTGTAATATGTCAATAGTTTAGCTCAATAATTACATTTATGTATTTATATATAAATCAGAAATGTATATAAATTAGGTTAACATTTATAGAAGTGTTTTATTATTTCTTTACATTTGTACCAAATTAAAATATATATTTTTATTTTTAATGTATTATCTTTTGAACTTAAGCAAATGATCAAGGTGGATTAATGTCGGCTCAAAACGTTGGTGTTCCTCCAATGGGAGGCATGCATGGACAAATGATGCCTCCAATGATGGGACCACCTCCTGGTATGATGCCTCCTAATACAATGATGCCTCCACCAAATTTTCCACCCTTTGGGGGACCACCTCCATTTGGCATGCCTCCACCTGGATTTCCTCCTCAAGCACCATGGGGAATGGTGCCTCCAGGATTTGCCCCTCCACCTATGATGATGCCTGGCATGGAACTTAACAACAAAGTATTTAACTAGTATACTTAAAAATACTTGAGTTTTCAAATCAATAAAAATAAACTACTTATACTTTAGATTGATCCAGTTATTTTAGCTAATGCTGCTGAATGGTCAGAACATCGTGCACCTGATGGTCGCATGTATTATTACAGTATGAAAACATCAGAATCTGTTTGGGAGAAACCTGAAGCATTAAAAAATCTTGATTGTAAGATAACGTTTTTCTATTTAAAGTATTTGAATTTTACTTCAAGTTTTCATTTCAACTTGAAGTAATTTTAACATCTACCAAATAAATTTATATCTAAGGTTTTGTATTAAGTCTTAAGATATCCTAAATTTAGTCATGTTCATATAATTTTAATTAACTAATTAAGGAATCAGCGTGATAACTTAGTAAATTCAATATTTTTGTTAAAATCATATTTTATCAAGAAAAAAATATAGCCATTTAAAATGCAATATAATAACATTTCAAAATGTCTTATTGTAAATATGATTAACAATATGTTTTAAAAATGATTTCTTTTTCAACTTCTACAAATTTTTATTTTTCTGAAAAAAATTAAGCATATCATTACACCAATACATTCATATAGTATACATGTAATACTACCATTAACAGTTATGCGTAAAACATTTTATAATAGGAATGAAAATCATTGTTTAATTTATTGTGTATAACTGATTTCTTTCTGAAATATAACTTGAAATCATTTTATTTTTAATTTGTTATTTCCATATTTCTTTTTAGTGGCCAGAGATGTAGCTGCTGCACAATTAAGAAAAGAGGCTGAACAAAAGTTAGAACAAAAAAATGATCCTTTAGTTGATATTGGTTTTGCAAAGCTCATGAATGGTTCAGATGTGAGTTCAATCAAAAGAAAAGATGAAGAAATTCAAGAACCCAACAAAAAAATAAAATCTGATGATAAAGCTAAAGCAGCTGATAAACTAAAAATTCAAGATAAAACCAGACCAGTATCGAGTACACCAGTGGAAGGAACTCCATGGTAATTTTACATCTTGTTCATATATAAGTTAATTAAAATTTTCATATTAATCAAATTTTTTTTTAAATTTAATTTAATCTTCTTTCTTGCCTCAATTCTAACTACTTGAGGTCGACCACCCTTATCCTAAACTTCCACTTGACACGATCTCCCACATCACCTATGCTCACATCAACTGTCCTCATATCGCATTCAATAGCATCCCTCCATTTCTTTTTTGGTCTTCCTCTACCTCTTCTTCCTTCAAAATTTATTTCTATAACTGTTCTTACAGCTTCCGATTCTTCTCTCCTCATAACATGACCAAACCAGTCTATTTTCTCTCATCTTATCCACGATTGACGCTACACCTATACTCCCTCTTATATGCTCGTTTCTTATTATATCTTCCCTAGTCACTCCACTCGTCCATCTAAGCATTCTCATCTCAGCTCTACTTTCTTATCAACCACCCAACGCTCTGAACAATACATCATAGTTGTCCTCACTACAGTCTTGTAGAATTTACCTTTCAGCCTCATTGGAATTCTTTTATCTCATAAGACGCCAGACGCTTCTCTCCACTTCAACTTGCCGCGCATAATTTTGTGTCTTACATCCTAATCAATACCACCACTTTTGCACAACTGATACTAAATACTTAAAACTCTCCACCTCTCTAATCATGTCCTTGCCTATTGTCACTGACCTCCTCATTTCACCTACCTCTTGTTCTCCTTTGTCAAACTTGTACTCTATTACTCTGTCTTACTTCTACCTATTCTTAAACCCATTTCTTCAAGAGCTGATCTCCACACCTGTAGCCTTTGATTAATTTCCTCCCTATTTTTTTCTATTAACACTATATCGTCAGCAAACAACATGCACCACGGCATCTCTCCTTGTATTTCTCTAGTAATTCTTTCCATCACTATAGAGAATAAGTAAAGGCTTAATGCAGAACCTTAGTGCACTCCTACTCTTACCCGAAAACCTTCTGATACTCCTCCTACAGTTTTTATCCTGGTACAAGTGCCATCATACATAGCCTCTATTATATTAATGTACCTTTTCGGTATTTTTTTTCTCATTAATATTATTATTATTCTAATAAAATTTTATTTAAAAGATTCTTCAATCATCTTATGTTAACGCTGCCCATATTTTCCATAAATCTACTGGCACTTTATCGGTCCTACTGCTTTATTCTTTTTTATTGATGTCACAGTCTTCCTATACCTGTTTCTCATTAATTAAATCTACCAGCCCCTTCTTCTGCTCTTCTGCCATACTTTGAATTGCTTTTTCTTACTTTCTATGATTTTTTGAACATTCTCATCCCACCACCAGGTTTCCTTGTTTCCTCGCATTCTACTCCTAATCTCACCAACAATTTCCTTTGCAGTATTTATACACAACTAACAAATCTATTACACGCACCATTTATGTCTCTTTCGACATTCTACACTTTTACCGTCTTGACAAACTCTTTTCCCCTTTCAATTTCCATCAATGGATTTTCGATTTTTCTCCCGTGTTCCTTCTGTTTTTGTATATTCTTTTCTCGGTGCACCAAAACTCCATTACTCATCAGTCTATGCTGTGTAGTTGCACTCTCGCCTGGTAAACTTTACAATCCTTTACTCGCTTTACGCTCCCTTTCTTCCACATAAAATAATCAATCTGTGATCTATTCCTCCCACTCTTTTAAGCTATATAATGTTCTTCCCTCTTTCTAAAATAAGTATTAACCTCAGCAACATCATATGATACTGCGAAATCCAGGATTCTTTCTCCAGCCTCATTCTTCCCACTAAAACCATACCCTCTATGTACTTCTCCTCTCATTATTTACATGTCCATTCATAATAAAAATAATAGTATAATGTAATAAATAGGTATAAATTTAAAATATTACCTAAACTGACATTCAAAATCACAGTCATTAACTCTTTTATTTGAAGACTTGAGCAATCTTAAAAATTCCTTGGCTTTATAAGATGATTTAATCTTGAATTCAGATTTTATTTTAGCTAGAGGTTTAAGCATTTATGTAAGCAGAAAAAAAAATTTGTTATATATTTTCATAGAATTTCTAAAAAAAAAAAAGTTGAGCAAAATAAAATTGTTTTTAAATGAATATTAGTTTAAACATGGTGACAAATATTGAAAATAGCTATATTATCATTGTCATTCTAAATTTGTCAGGCTCACTCCTTAAATATATCTGAATTAAATACTTCATTTGAAGCATTCAGTACAAATTCATCATCGGAATCTGATGTGTCATTTATATCTATATTTATATTGAACCGCTTTAATGTTTTATAAACAAATTCACTTTAAAACATTTTAGCGGATTCATATTAAAGCAGTGAATGATGAACTGCCTGATATTTATTGTTACTATACCAGTTTATAATACAAGAAAGTTATTTAAACATAAAAAAATATAGTTTAAATAAAACTTTAATAATTATTAATTTATTAAAGTTGAAAAGAAAACACAAAATAAAATTGACTAGAATACAAAACAAAATCAACCAATTCATCATTTGATAGTTATAGTAATATGAAAAATCATTGTTTAAATTTTGCTTGAGTCAAAATAGGATCCTAATTTAATGAATTTATAATAATAAGTTTATAATATAATAATAATTAATAAGTTAAATCAACATTTAATAATGTGCTATTCGTTTATTAATTGCTTAATGAATGTTAATGCAATTCAGTATAAGACTAGAAAATATTGTCATATTTATTAATTATTCAAAGTTAACTTTAATTTCAAAATTATTTTACATAAGTGGAGTACCTTTTATTGATGTCTAATTTTAGGTGTGTTGTATGGACTGGAGATGGTCGTGTGTTTTTTTTTAAACCCTCTACAAGAACTTCAGTTTGGGAGAAACCTGATGACTTAAAAGGAAGATCAGATGTGGATAAAATGATATCTAATCCTCCAGAAGTTGTTCAAGCTTTAAAAAACGCAGAGGGACAATCACAAAATAAAAAACTGAAAAATGATAATGGTAATAACTCTTCTTCTTTTTTCTCGCCTTAATCCTAACTACTTGTGATCAGCCACCCTTATCCTTAACTTCAACTTGACACGATCTCCCACACCTTCTATGCTCATATCAGCCGTCCTCATATCACATTTAATAACATCCCTCCATTTCTTTTTTGATTTTTTTCTATTTCTTCTTCCCTTGATATTCATTTCCATAACTGTTCTTACAGATTCTGATTCCTCTCTCCTCATAACATGACCAAACCATGTTATTACCATTACTTATGGTAATAACATTTAACTAACAGTTAAAATTTGTATTACTAAGTTGAAAAATTGTTAGAAAAATCTATAATTATATAAATCATTTTGATCAGATAAGGAACACATCCCAGCACTTCATTTTTTTTTTTTCATCTGTCAATTTTTAGTACCTAATTACTCTAAATAACCAATAGTATCAGTTGTAATATTAAAGTTACATATCAAAGTAACTTTAAGGTTATAACATTAATATTAAATAAGTAACTTTAGAAAAATTCATATACTATATATGAATAATAATATCATATATTTTAACACACTTATATTAGTTTCACATATATGTTTGTTGTAACTCTCCTTGTACCACGTGTTATTCTCACATATCCCGTTGTTTATAGCCTTGAGACTAGACTGCCGTAACGCATTCACCCCACCCTGCTCACCACACGCTGTAAACACTATTCCTGTATATTTTTGTTTTTGGTTTTCGTACCTGCACATGTGTGCATATATATGTGTGTGTATATATATATATATAGATAAACAAATTTTTATTGTTTATTATTAGATATAAACATTTAAAGATTCAAATTTTTTAAAATTTTATACATGTAAAATACATAAGGCATTACAAATACAGGTAGCTAATTGGTTTTTTATGACAATATTCGCAGGTATATAGCTTTTATATTCAATAGTAGTAAGACATACTGTTGTGAGTTTATAAACACACTAACTGGCAATACAGAAATTATATCTATTAATAGTGATAATTGACAATAAACAATCCGTGACTGTAACAGCAATGTCATAAACTAAAAAGTGAAAAATAAATAGTTTAAAAAAAACTGAAAAACATGCTTTTAAAGCATATAGAACTAAAAAGTTAAAAATAATTTTTAATATAAGCTTAAAACAATAATGAAAGAAAAATACTCATATTATTGTGAAAAAAAGTGTGGGGGCTTTGTGCCATATTTTTCGTAAATTGAGCACCTGACACTTTTTTTCACAATAATACGAGTATTTTTTGTTCATTATTGTTTTATATTAAAAAGCTTATATTAAAAATTATTTTTAACTTTTTAGTTCTATATGTTTTAAAAGCGTGTTTTTCAGTTTTTTTAAACTATATTTATTATACAAACATTTTCCTTAGTACTTGAATTTTTAGTTTTTAAAATTGAATTGTACAAAATTTGAAGTGTAAGCTCTAAAAGTGATGTTGCTCTATATATTCAAGTTCTAATTCATCTATAAATGATAATTGTAAATTTTTAGAAAAAAATGGTCAAGAAAATACTAGTAACAATAAAAATGACTCTGAGAGTAAGGTAAATTTAATGAAAGATTCAGCAATGGAAGCTGAACTAAAAGCAGCTCGAGAAAGAGCAGTAGTACCTCTAGAAACTAGGATAACTCAATTTCGTGAAATGTTGTCAGAAAAAGAAGTAAGTTTGTTTAATATTGAAAAAAAATACTGTGTAAAAATTTATTTTATTATTTCTGTTGTGTAGGTTTCAGCATTTAGTACTTGGGAAAAAGAATTGCATAAAATTGTTTTTGATCCTAGATACTTGTTGTTAACATCGAAAGAACGAAAACAAGTATTTGAAAAGTATGTGAAAGAAAGAGCTGATGAAGAAAGACAAGAGAAGAGAAATAAAATGAAAATGAGACGTGATGCTTTCAGACAATTAATGGAAGAAGCTAATCTTTCTACTAAGTAAGTAATAATGTTATTGAACAAAATATTAAATTCAAAGTATGTAAAACTTTAGAAGAAAATTTAATTATAAGTTTAATACTTTTCAATCTAAATTTGTATTACCAATTTTTGTGAGTTCTAAATATTTTTTTACATTTTGTCATATTTTTCTAATCAACATATGAAATGTGAATAGTAACATTGTTTTAACACCATTTAATGACCACTGTCAGATGAATTTTACATATCTTTTTTTTAATTTACTCACAGAACATCATTCAGTGAGTTCAGCTCAAAAAATTCTAAGGATGAAAGGTATAAAAGTATTGAAAAATCTCGTGAAAGAGAAGGGTTATTTAATGAATATATGTTAGAATTAAGAAAAATTGAAAAAGAAGAAAAAGCTGCCCGAAGAGAGCAGGTCAGTACTTATAATTTAATTGATCTATTTAAGTTGTTATGTAAGCATATTTTAATTAGTATTAATACAATTTGATTTATTATTGTTATGCAAAATTATTTCAAGATTTATTCTGAATAAATTTTATAATTTAGTATTTCGTTTTATTTGTATTAAATTGTATTATTACTATTACATTAATCAATTGTTTAAGAAAATATATTTGTTATAAGATCAATATTTTATAAAATAATTTTTCAAATCAATTTTTTTTTTTTAATTTAATATGATATAGCTATGATCAAAATAATAAAATCCCTAGTTACTGTTATTACAATAACTACATTGAAATTTTACCCAGAATTTTTCTAAACAAATTATCCTTCTTAAATGATTGATTTAATTGTTTTTGGATGTAATAATATTTCATTCTTGTAATTGAGGTTGTTAAAATAATTGAATTGGTGTTTCAATTTTATATTGTGTAATAAGCTAATAACATACCTTTTATTTTCAGGTCTTCTAATAATTTTTCAGGCTTTGAGTATTTATTAAATAATAATTAAATAATTACTTTAAAAGGACGCCATATAGGCATCTAATATATCAGAATAACCATGTACCATAAAGAGTTGTGATTTATAATCTTGATAATTAAACAGTTATAAAAAACTAAAAATTTAATTTCATATACTCAATTGAATAATAATATTGTTTCTTTTTTTTAAATTATTAAATTAAATTTTGAATACTGAATAAGTTATACAACTCTGAAAATTTTAGTCTCGTGACTAACATTATTATAGTTGTAATTAAATTATTTTTATAATTCAAAATTTTAACATCATTAAGTTTTCTCTTGTTCAAAATTATGTTTATATGGCTTTCTTTTAATGTCTTATTATTAATAAATTGTTTCAATTTTCTTTTAATTTAAAATCACTTAACTATATTTATTAATAAACATAATATTCAAAGAAATTATGAGTATTTAAAATATATGTTATCAAAACATACTCGGATAAACTAATAAAGTTATCCAGTGTATTTATGTGTATATATTATATAATAATTAATTTTTAACAGGAGATATGTTCAAATATAAAGGATATAATCTTTTTCAAACATAATGATAAATAAGTTGATAAAATGATATTTCAGGTTTAAACATTACTTATATGGTATCAAATAGTTAATTATTTTCAACTATATAATATAATAATAATAAAAAGATGTTTTCAGGGAATTTTATGTCTTAGTATTAACATAGCTTTAACTATATATGCTTAGAACATAAAAAATATGATATGATTTTCTAAAACTCTATTCTGAAAAAAAATTGTTTGTATTATATTTATTTAATAGGATATGGTAATTATACAATAATTTATAACTAGATTTATTGCTTATTTTAGTTTACTACTATTTATCTGATAATTATTTACTAAAATGAGTTTCTAGACTTCAGATTTTTGTTGAATATTACTATCTATTAGTGATCCTAGTTAAAGAATTTCAACCTATATGAAACTATGCTAGAGTTTTATGGTTTTTAATATTACACTTTTCTTATACAAATTAATATCAGAAAACTACTTATATAAGAGTAGTGATTTTAAAATAGCTTCATAAAACCAACAATTACTTCTTTTGAAAATTTTTTATATAGTTTAAAACTGCTAATTTTCAAGCCATTAGGGAAATGCACTCCTTAAGTCATGTTTATAAACTAAATATAATGAAATAGCCAAAAAACCATACAATTATGTCTTTCTCATGATATTTTTTTCATATTCTTTGTTTTTAAATAGAGAGGTTTTTACAGAGTATTTTTTCATGTTTATATTCTTAATGTAGTCTTCCACTATTTTCTCTACAAAAATTCACAAGCCATTAATTCAGATAAAAAGGTGTCGTAGAATTAGGCACATACTAACTTTCTAGTATAATGGAAGTATCACAATGAGAATCTCTATGTCTCAAGTAATAAACAAAATTAAAAAGAGTATTGATATTTATTGTAGGACAAAAAATTGAAAAAAAATTATTTATTGATACAAAAAAAATGATATGAGATATGCCTATATTGAATACACCGATTTTGAAAAAATACACATTGTAATATTGATAAACTACAACATTTTTAGATGATTTTCTTATATGTATATAAAAGACAACTTTAAAATTATAAACCCAATATTAACTGCAGGGTTTTATATAGCTATATTAAAATCACCAATTCACTGTCCCATTCTGTACTTACATTTAATATTGGTAGCTATATATATCTTATGAATATATATTCAGTTATAAATAAACTATCGATTAAACAAAATCTATATTATATTTTAATACCACTAAAAAAATTATCACCATTAAAATCAGTAATTTTTTCAACATATTTCAAAGAATATATATGGTTTGTTTTACAAAAAATGTGACATTTTCAGCTCATAAAAACTGATAACATGTTAAAAGTGTTATGTACTTTTATTAATTCATATATTTTAAATATAAATTAAATATTTCAATGGTAAGGGAAAAATGGGTGATGAATGAAATTTAAGTGATTGTATTTTTATATGGTATTTGAATATTGTCTTTGGCTTAAGTGAATGAAATAAATTGAATGTTATGAATAATTGAGAATGAATAAATGGATATTTGTATGACATATACAATCATCATCATCAAAAATCAGCATTTCCGGTTACATTTAAGCTTGAGGACTGATATTTAATGCAGCTTGGCAGAAATATATGCAGAGAACAGTTCAAACTCCAGATTTAAGGTAATACCTTGTGGAATTAATTTTAATTGGAAACAATGGATTACAAGTTTATCCTTTATTATATACCATTAAGGAAAATTGGATTTCTAATTCTGATGATTTTTAAGTCATACATGAAGCTGAAAATGAAGAAGTGGGCTGCAAAGGAATTAAAGTATCATTAAATTATTTTAAAAAAAAATCAATTATTTCTAAATTTAATTTGATTATTTAAGCTTAAATAATAATATTTGTACAAACATATTTTTTCTGGGTTATTATAATTTATTAAATTTCATAACTATGTATATTGATCATAAATAATAATGTAATGTTGATTAGGTTTATTTTATTTTTAACATGTGTCAAAATTTCCTGTGTATTTGTCTGTTTGTTTGACTTTCATTTTTAAAGTATGACAGAAATTTTTATTTTTATTTTATAAAAAACAACAAATTTTATTACTTCTCTGAAAAATTGCATCTGGTATTCTATTACAGAAATAATTTTATATTTTATGATATATTTCTTAGGATCATAAAATTATTAGCAAGACAGACTGCTTAATAATTTACTCTGTACTTGACAAAGCAGTTTATATGATGAGATAAGTTAATATCTGAACAAGTAGTGATTTTGTGTTTGACATTTTCAATATGTATAGGCTATAATTTATTTAACTGTGTTTATTTTACATCAATAAACTATTAATGTTCTTTTCAGCATTTTTAAGGAAGCAAAATCTTTCTAGTATTACTCTTGATATTTTGTATGCAATTAAGCCTTGTTTTTGGTTTGAATTGTTAATACTTATTTAATTGGGTTTAAAATTATATTTTGTTATATTCTTATTGTTTAAAAGATTAAATGCTTAAGACTATTATGAAAATTTTTTTACATTTCAAGTTTTTGCTTTCTTGTTAAAATATTATTGTGCAATAAATTTATATAGTGTAATGTTTAATTTTGAGTTATTATTATACTATATTATTTAATGTACACTATTTTTAATCTGTAAACATGTATTTAAAATTATATTTTTTATAATTAACCAAATAAGGAATTTATTCTAATTTTATTTAATTATATTATTTTGTGGATACATTTTAGGCCCGGAAACAATTTATAGAGCTATTAAGAGAACATAATGAAATTGACCGTCATACTCGCTGGACTGATATAAAAAAAAAATTAGATCATGATAGTAGATATAAAGTAGTAGATTCTAGTACTTTAAGAGAAGATTACTTTATGGATTATATAAAAATTTTAAAAGATGAAAGAAAAAGAGAAAAAGAACGAGAACATAGAGATAAGGATAAACATAGTCACAAACGTGATAAACGTGACAAAGAAGAAAAAGAATCAAAAAAATCTGAATCAAAAGTAACAATCTATTTAATAATTATATATTTGTAAACAGGGTCCATCATAAGTTTGAATAGTTATGATTGTGTAATATCATCTCTAATTGAGAGGCTAACTCTGTTTTACTTATTGATTATCTAATTAGCGAGAAATTCTTTTCTTATTAAAATGTAATTAATAATAATATTTAAGAACAATGGTTGTTATAATTTTATTAATTTCTTGGGCTATTTTTATATTATGAAAATAGAAAATATTGAATGTTATTGATATATCTAAAATTACTTTAAAAAAAATTGGAGATCATATATCTTTTGGAATAATCTATCAATTTTTGAAAATTAAACACTACAGATTTGCATCAAAACATTTTTTATGATAGTGATTTTAATTACTGTCAGATATCATTATACTTGACCCAACTATGTGCATGTCCCCATTGTGTTGGGTTTTTTTTATTGTTATACTTTAAAACTATTTTATTTTTTAAAAACAAAATTATTGAAAGTACTGAATGAAAAATGGAAATTGTCATAATAGAGATGTTATTTTTTAGTTCAATAGATGAATTACAATATCTTAAAAGCCCCTTGTAATATATTTTTAATAATTATTTTCAAATAACATATTTAATGATAATCATAACAATATATTGTCTTTTAACTGTATGTAGATTGAAGAAAAGTCCTCAGATGTTGAACAAGATGATTTAAAAGATTCTAAAGAAGCTAGAATTGAAGCCAGTTTAAAAGAACGAGAAAAAGAAGTGCAACGTACTCTTGCTGTTCATCTTAAACATAGAGAAAATGAGCGTGAACAGCATAAACATGATGAAGCTGTTGTTCATTTTAACGCTTTATTAGCAGATCTGGTTAGTTTGTACTGAAAATTATTTTTATAAATTTAGCTTAAACTAAAACTATTATATGCATTTTTAAGGTAAGAAGTAATGATATGTCTTGGAAAGAAGCAAAAAGACAACTTAGAAAAGACAGTAGGTATGAGTTAGCTGATTCATTAGATTCTGAAGAGAAGGAAAAATTATATAAAGTTCATGTAGAAGAAATAACTAAAAGAAAAAAAGAAAAATTCAAGGAGATGTTAAATGAAATAAATGATTTAACTTTAGATAGTTCCTGGAAAGAAATAAGGAAACAAATAAAAGAAGATGTGAGATATGTTAGATTTTCATCTAGTGATAGGGTAAGTTAAAAATGACTTATAAAAATTTTTAAAATAGTTTTATGAAATAAGTTAAAACCTATATGGCTAACAAACTTTCCATTATCGTTAACATTTGATTATAAATTGACTTTAATGTGGTTTGTATTCACAATATTATTTATGATTGTATGATTATTAATCATAAAAGGTTTTTTTATTATGGGAATGATACATTAACAATAACATGGTATCGAGTGAACTACTAAATAAATGTATTTGTAAGGAAATTAATACATAAACAATATTACTTCCATTTGGTTTCTATTCTTTGTAATAATAGTGAACAATTATTTGTTTCAGTTAAAATGGGTGATAAATATAAATATACCCTCCATCGAGTCCAATCAGTGTTTATAGTAGTCACGCTGAATCTCATTTGTGTCTAATAGTGATTCTAATGTTTCTCTATTATTGTCTAGTGACATTTTTCTAGTAATGATTTGGGACTAATTTATCCTGGTATTCAGTCATTTAGTGGAAATATAATGTTGATAGTTTTTTGCTTTTAAATTTTTATCAGATGAATTCTATTTAAAATATTTTTGGTAACAACAGTCAGTGATTAGGTGATAGTCTTGTACTGTTGATTAATACTTCACAGCTTTATGTCTATATACTGAGTATATAGTTGGGAAAAGGGTAGTGTTGATGATGATTGCTTTTTGTTATATATATATATATAAATTATTCTAAATTATAAATCCTTCTAATTTCTCTCCACTTACTGAACACAATGAATAGATGTGGCCGTAAAGTCAGGTTCAGGTAGTACTCTTAATGAAGTATCAATCAAAAAATGACAGGACATCAAAACAGATTTTTATTTTTTTATTAAATAAGTGGTTCATAATATAACAGTCACTCTGTATTAGATAGAAATTGTATATTTATAAATAAATATTGATTGAATTGAAAAAATGAATTAATTATGATGAATAAATTATGTTTTTATTTTTTCAGAAATGTGAAAAAGAATTTAGAGAGTATTTAAAAGATAGATTGGTGGTAGCAAAAAATGAATTTAAGGACCTTTTGATGGTAAATTCCGATAATTATTATTGTTTATATATTTTTATTTTAGTATGTTTTTTATTTTTTAGGAAACTAAACTGATAACTCATTTGTCTAACTCAAAATTACAAGAAAATAATGAAGCATATTTAAAAGAAGTTGAAGACATTTTGAGCAATGACAAAAGATATTTATTTTTGAATAGTTTAGTGGATGAGCGTACAGAATTAATCATTTCTTATATAGAAGAACTAGAAAAACGTGGTCCACCCCCTCCACCTACAGCGACTGAACCTAATCGACGACCTATTAAATAAAATATTAATGTATATTTTTTAAATATTTTAGAATTCCATCTATTAAAATCGTTTAGTATATAACGATAACCTTAATTCATTTTTTAATTTTCAGACACTTCATTATAATTATGCTATTTTTTTATTCAACTAATTTGTGTTTTTTTGTATAATTTTTTTTTTTTTTTTTTATGTATAGGCACAATTTCCAGTAAGTAGCAGGTAATTTTGTATCTATTTAATGTACAAAATTCACTGTTTATTAAAATTTCAGATCTATTTAGTATTGTCATTTATAATAAACAGCTTTTGAATTTTATATAAAGCAGCATATATATTTGATTTATCAAACCTTATTTATTTTTATTTATTACTGAAAAATAAATAAATTATACATTTTATAGACGAAAAGTATATGTGATAATAAAATATTAGTACAAATAGTAATCTCAGTCTGCCAATTAAATGATAAAAAGTCGGTTGATCCCCTACAAAAATGTCTTCAACAAATCCCTATTATAGTGGTACTCAAATTTTAGCTTCCATAAAAAATGTTTAGTTTAATCATGATGTGTTTATATATATAAATATATATTGTGTCTGTCACTATTTCTCCTGTCTCCTTGGACTACTGTTTTTAATAATATGTCAAAAGATCAACATTATATCTAGTTGAAAACATTATACTCAAAAATTGAAAAAAATTTCCCTCGTTACCCGTAAATAGTGAAAATCCCCCAAAACATTACGATTTTTAAAATGAGTAAATTTCGAAATTTTTTAAATTTTTTTGTCTAAAAATTGCCATAACTTAATTACAAATGAACAAATTCTTTTTTATATTGAAACCATAGATATTTCTTTGTCGTTTGATATAAATTTTTTGAAAATCTGACTAACACCATACTGGGGCGATTCAAAAGTGTATTTTTTGCATTTAAAGTTAACCTTTTCCGCTTAACTTTCAAAAATGCACAGTAAATACATAGAATTTCAAAGATGTTAAATTAAAGCTTATGTTACATACCAGAAGTCAAATACACATCTACAGAGTGTTAGTATAATCAATGTCAAGAATAGTAAGGTGATATCTGCGTGTTTTCTCGTTATGTAATCGTTTAAACTAAAAGTAAACTACGCCACAGGACTCCCACTAAAATTTCAAGACAAATTGATGGACATTTTTTTGCAACTTTTAACCCAAAGTTCAGAGGAGGGCGAAAAATTTACAAAAAGAAATCGAGAGACGACTCAATTTGTAAGAGAATTTTGTGGGAAATCCGTGACGATGTTTATTTTTTATGTTTAAATTATTTATTTAAATAAAATTTGAAGTGTGGGAACCGGAAAAACCCCAATTTTGAAGTTAGGAAGTTTTAGTTTTTTATTTCGCTCGTTTTAGGTTCTACTGAATATCACCTTATTACTCATGACATTAATTTTTCTAACACCCTAATATAAACGACCCCAAAATTATACAAAACATGTTAATTTGGTGTAAATCATCGTTTTTTGTGTTGTTATAATTTTATATTTAAATTTTTTTTTAATTATACCTATATTTTAGGTTAAACGGTGTTTAGTCATATAAGAATGAATAGCAATTTAACAAAATAATTTATTAACTATGAATATGCTCATGGAGAAATATTGCAACTTTTAATGTCAATCGCATAAGTATATTAATAGGATGGGACTGTCAAATGACAAATGATATAAGACCCAAAATGAGCCCTTCATGGAATATATCACTTCCATATAAATGTGATAAACCAAAGAGACCTCCCCTTGATCCCAGTCTAAGGCTGCCCTTCAAAATATGTTTCACTGTGTATTAGAAATTACAATTTCATGACTAAAATAATAATTAACTAACAAAGGTCGAATTAAGAAAGTTAACTTTTTTCTTATTTCAAAACCATACTTACATTTTTGATACTTAGGAGAAAAATCGAGAATCCGGTGGTAGAAATTGAAAGGGGAAAATGAAAAAGAGTTTTTCAAGACGGTAAAAGAGAGGACAGTGTGGATGTCGAAAGAGACATAAATGATGTGTGGAATAGATTTGCTAGTAGTGTAAAGAATACTGCAAAGGAGATTGTTGGTGAAATTAGAAGTAGAATGCCAGGAAACAAGGAAACCTGGTGGTGGGATGAGAACGTTCAAAAAATCATAGAAAGTAAGAAAAAGCAATTCGAAGTATTGCAGAAGAGCAGAAGGAGAAAAGATTGGATGAATTATAAACGCTTGTTCAAAGAAGCCAAGTATGTAGTAAGTAAGGCGAAATTTAAGAGATATGATGATTTATATGAAAGGTTAGAAACAAAGGAAAGCGAAAAAGAAGTCTTTAGACTTGCAAAAGTAAAAGAAATAAGGTCTAAAGATTATCACTATGTAAGGTATATAAAAGGTGTTAATAATAGAGTACTATCGAGTGATAATAATGTAAAAAAAAGGTGGAAAGAGTATTTTGAAAAATAACTGAATGAGGAATATCCAAAAGAGACATTAAATGATATCTTGTGGAACGAGGGGCTGGTAGATTTAATTAATGAAAAACAGGTATGGGAAGACTGTGGCATCAATAAAAAAGAATAAAGCAGTAGGACCGATGAAGTGCCAGTAGAATTATGGAAAATATGGGCGGCGTTGACATAAGATGATTGAAGAATCTTTTAAATATAATCTTATTAGAAGGAATGGAGAAATAGTATTGTGGTGCCGATATTTTATGGAAAAGGAGACATACAGCAGTATGGAAATTGTAGAAGATTTAGGAAAAAGGAATAGACAAAAGAATAAAAGGAAAAATATCAGTAACAAGGAACCAGTTTGAAAGGTAAAGTCTATAAGACTGTAGTGAGATCAGCTGTGATGTATGGTTCAGAGTGTTGAGTGGTTGACAAGAAAATAAAGCAGAGGTAAGAATGCTTAGATGGACGAGTGGAGTGACTAGAGAAGAGATGGGATTAGGAACAGTTATATAAGAGGGAGTGTAGGTGTAACGTTAATCGTAGACAAGATGAGAGAAAATAGACTAGATGGTTTGGTCATGTTATGCGGATAGAGGAATCAGAAGCTCTAAGAATAGTTATGGAAATGAATATTAAGGGGAGAAGAAATAGAAATAGAGGGATATTATTAAATGCGATATGAGCATAGATGGTGTCAAATCGAAGTTTAGGATAAGGGTGGCCGATCACAAGTAGTTGGGATTAAGGCGAGAAAAAAGAAGAAGATTTACATTTTTGATACACGTTAACATAGAGGTAACAAAATTTACAATATTAAATTATTGAAAATTAATTTCATACTACATTTATTTTGAGTTTATTCATGAGTTATACTAATAAATCATAAAACTAGTTATCAAGATATAATTAAGGAAATACAAGTTTATTTATATTGCTATTTGAATAATCCAACAATTCCTTCTAAAAATTAAACAATATCTACAAATTTGTTTCGTTGTTTCGTATCTCTTTATGATAGTAATTTTAATCACTGTCAGATGTCTTCAATACTTTGATCATTAATATTTTAAAAATATGTTGAATTTTTTTTTTTTTGTTCTAGAATGTAGTAGTGCTCAACTATTCCTTGTTAGTCATTTATATAATTTACTTAAAATATTTTCTGTAATTAGTCTGTTAGTTTGATTAAAATATGTGAAACTGATATATTTGAATTTCATTTGTAATTAAGTTGTAATCACAGTTATTTTGATCTATAGTTATAATTAAAATTTTGCTGAGGATTTGTATTTTTAGTAAGTATCAAGAATATTATGGAAGAATATTTTGTTAATACAGTCTTAATAATTGACGACTGCAAAATAAGTAAAATGTACTGTTATCAGCTAAGTCAAAAAAAATTTTACTTAATTGGACAATGCCATGAGATTTAAACAAATTAGCGAGGAGTCAATAATAAATACTATTTTTATTATCTAGCTTAAGGATATCTGCATAATAAAAACTTAATATCACAATTATTTTAATTTTATTATCTTCTCCACATCATTTGCGGTAAATGTTGTATACATTCGTGTTGTGTCCCACCTAAATGAGATACAGTAACATGTATAGGGTTGTAATATAAATTAAAGTATCACTTAACTTGCCGAATAATTACAATAATATAATTTAAGTTCTAAATATAACTATTATTATTAAATAAATATGTAAATGAATAGTACTATTATAATCATTAACAATTTTATATTTATGTAACACTTTATTCAACAGCGGTTCAAACACTTGAAATTGCTTACCCGATCTATTAGTTGTCCACTTACTAATTAATTATTCCAAATATAAACTAAATTACAAATATTATGACTAATTTTTACATACTTTAAAATACAATTTTTAGGCAAAACATCGGGTTGTCTGAATAATTTCGTATGACATGAATTATCTATACTAAAAATAGGTCGGTCGTAAGAATATAACATTGTTTCGACTATATATTTACATGAGTTTAATTGTTCTATATTTTATTTTGTAAAATATAATCTAGATTATCTTTTACTATATAATTTATGTGATAATCTACAATAAATATATTATCGCGAGTCTTTGTCTGTAAAGAGATTGGATTATACAAAGCAAATTCATACTTATTAACTAAGAGGATATTTAACTGTAAATTAAAGGCATTTTGAATACATACATTGATATTTATCATGTGTAAAAGTTCTGATACTCCAGATGCTAACGAACTATTATAGATTATAGATAATTTTTATTTGTTCTATTAATTTACTAACTTATCCCTACTACAGCAATACAGTTTTCTAACAATTCACATACCTAAAATTTTTATTATCATTTTTGGCTTCTAATGCCTTGCTTTATACAACAGGACTAGCTTAAGGTATTCTATCGCTCTGAGCAAAATCATAGATGCCATATTTTACGTTTTTTGATCAATTTTTCTTTTACTAATGTCTTATACTTTGCTTAAAACATCTAAACATTTAAAAATGACTTTCCAGGTAATTACTTATTTTAAGTTGGCCCTACATAATAATTAACATAATTGTGTTAAAAGTTAAAATAATTTTTTTTTTTTTTTATTTGACTTGTTTTCGTCAAAAAACATAATTACAAAATTTTTCAAATAAACCATTGATACTATTTATGATTGGAACTTACATTAGATAAATGAACGCAGTGTGATTACAGACTATATTTATATAGTTGTGGTGCGATGGTAATAACCAGAAATATTAGCTCGCTGATAAAATGATAGTTGATATCTGTTAATAATTTGAAATAAACATTGACTACACAGGAAAATTGCATTAGAATATGATGTTAAAAATCAAAATCTTAATTCCAGACATTATTTTGTGTTCCAAGAACTTTTTCCCAATACTAATTATGATTTAAAAATATTTTTTCAAACTTATTTTTTTTTTCATAAATTAATGTAATGGACCAAACACAAGTTTTACAAGAACTCGAAGCAGCTAGTAGAGTTATGCTAGTTAGTATTTTTATTATCATTTCCATTAATACTATTTAATTATAATGAAAATAATTGTATTTAAAAATAGGCATCACCTTTATTTGTGTCTAATGAACAGCGAAATGCTGCTGAACAAGTATTCATAGGTTTTCGCAAAACAAGTATGCCTTACTCTATTTGCCGTTACATACTTGGTAACTTCGAAATTAATACCTATAAAGTAACTTAAATATTATTTATTTAATTTATATTATATTTCTAAGATTGCAGTAAAGTTGATTTTGTTTTATTTGAGACCATGGGTACATTAAGAGATGCACTTATAAGAGATTGGATGCTGTTATCTCAAGAACAAAAGAATGAACTCCAGCAATATTTATTTCAATTTATTATGAAGGATGATCATATTGCTCCTTTTGTGAGGGAAAGAATATTACAAGTAAATTAATAATTTTTTTATTATTTACTCAAAGATTTAAAAAATAACTTTCATTTATATTTAGTTAGTAGAAATAACAAAATGATGATGAATGAATAGCTTAAACACTTCCCCAAATATCTGAAAATTATTTTTATAAGTAAAAAAAATTCAAATTCAATTGAATATTTAAAAATAATTTTTATAATGTTGCTGGGTCAGTCCTATTTTTCCATGAAGAGGTTATTTAACTCATAATATTGTATAAGTATTAATGACATGAACCATAATTATTTAGGTTATTGCAATTATGATAAAACGAGGAAGCGTGGATGATAAAGGTGAAGAAAGAGGCAAAATTTTAGATGAAGTAGAAAAGTTAATATTTAACGGTGATCAAAAGAAGGTATTAAAAAAATATACTTTTTAAATTAAGTAAGGGTTTATATTGTTTATAAATATTGACCAGTTTCCTTACTTTTTGAACACTGTCTAATTAAGTTTTATAGAAATCATTATATTTTAAATCTAAAAAATTCAATACAATTTTTAAGTAATGTATTCTGATACTTTTAAAAATTATATTTTTTTGTTTTTTTTTAAGATTCTTTTATGACTTATTTAAAAAGAAAAATTGTTTATTATATATTATAAATAATAGTTAATTTATTGTTCACAAATCTAAAGGCTTACCAGAATAACACGCTTATATAAAAGAATTTCATGATCATTTTTATTTTTATAAGTTTTATATTTTACTCCAATAAATGTACGAAATAATTTTAGTTTTTGGCAATTTTTCACAAATCTAGTAAATTAGTTCATCTATATAAATTTTTTTTTAGAATATGTTAAAAAAATGATTAATAAAACTAAAAATACTATGAAAAAACCTTTAAAAACTTAATCGAACTTAATGTTTGACTTTAAGAAAGTTTGAAAATAATAATTCATAAAAAAATATATATTGATTAATTTCGGTTTTTAAATTTTATAAGGTCAAATTTTAAGTTCTGTAAAGTTTTTAAAGGTAAATTTATAAAATTTTTGGATTCTTCTATTATTAGAACTTACTGGATATGATTAGAATTTTCTAAAAATCAAAATTATTTTGGTTCATAATCCTGTGTACTAATGAATATTATTTGCCTTTATTATCTTTAATTGAGGTTATTTTAAATAATATAAGTTTTTTTTTTTTTTTTGCGCTTTTATTAGCCTATTAAGGGCCACAGCGGCCTCCCCAAAGGAGGAGGTTTCTTAACCATTTATACTCCGGGACGGGTGGTTAGTCCGTCGCCGGAGGTGGGATGGCGACTCCAAATTACCGAACTGATCTCTTGTTCGGTAAATGAAGCCGCCCGTGGCCGAGTTTTGAACCTGAGACACTACGCATCAAGCACTGCCGCGTTACCGACTCGGCCACACTNCTCCAAATTACCGAACTGATCTCTCGTTCGGTAAATGAAGCCGCCCGTGGCCGAGTTTTGAACCTGAGACACTACGCGTCAAGCACTGCCGCGTTACCGACTCGGCCACACCGTCCCACAATAATATAAGTTATTTAAAATAAATTTACTATATTTTAAATAATTATCCAAATTAAGATTTTTAATTGATTATTTTGAAAAAATCATTATATTAATTGTAATAAAAAGTAGCCAAATAAATATTGATAAGTACATATGAATAAGGTATATTTATTTTAATTTATAGTAAAACACTTTATTTTAAAAATTCAACACTTTAATTCAATTTACATTTATAATAACATATTACTAACAAGTAAACATTACAGATGGAGTTTCAGATTGAGACATGTATCTTTCAATAGTTTTGTTTGTGAAGTGAAACTTGAGAAAAATTTTGAGAAATAATGGTGAGGAACTACGAGCAATAATATTAACATGATAACATGTATTAAATGTTTTTTAGGCTATTTATTATTTTATATTATTTTTAATCATTGAACTTTACTGAGTTATGAAATATTCAACAGTTTTATAATATTTGAAGAATATTATTATCACAACATAGTTATTGTAACTATAGATGAATTTTATGTTGTGGAAATATATTTCAACTAATTACTTTAAATATACTTAATATTTCATATTTTCATAAGAGTTAGACATATGATGGGAGGTTTTAGATAGTTTAAAAATTATTCACACCAAAATCTTTTAAAAAATTCATAAGTACTTTATTTCTTATGAAGGAAGAAATAAGATTTAGTTTCCTCTAAATATCTTTAATCCTATGGCAATGCAGTATGTCATAATTATTGAAAATCATAAATAGTTTATAAATCTATATATCCCTATGTTAATACTAATTGCTCATATATTCTTAACTCCTGGGTCCATAGCATCTAAAATTTGTTCAAGTTCATTTCAGAAACAATACTAGCATATGGCACATGTTTTAAACTAAAGTTTCATTTATCAATTTGTGATGTGCACATGTAAGACGTGTTTTGAATAATGACTACAATATTATTATTTTTATAATTATAGCAGCAAATTTTGGGATGTTCTATAATTTTAGCTTTAATGCAAGAATACTCCACCACAGTAAAATCTACTGATGTAGGTCTCTCTTGGGAATCACATTATGCTGCTAAAAAAGAGTTTGAGGTGAAGTCATTTTATATGTACAAAATATTATTAATAAATTTACTATAATAATTGTTTTTTTTTTAAACATTTGCCTAATTTGAAGTTTTTTTTTTAATTAATCCTATTTTTACTCTTAGCTTATATTTTTAATAAAAAAAGTTGTTACAAGAACCTTACAAATCCATTAATGTATCATTTAACTTTAGGCGTTTTCTTGAGATGCGAAATTAAGAATGTAACTCCTTGACTAAACACTTAAAATGAAATCTTTTTTGTTTAAAATTATGACAATAGAAGTTTAAATTCATAAGAGTTACAATGTAACAACTTTTTTAAATGTAACTACTCTCTTGCACTCACAGTACAACATATTAACTTTATATAAATATTTTAATAAGGCAAATAAAAAAAAACTTCTGTGATGAATTTAGTAATCTCTATTTACATGTCAGTTTTAAATTTATAATTCAATCTGATATTTTTTTTAGGCAAATGACTTGAGACGTATATTTGTATTCAGTACTCAAGCATTAAATGAAATAAAAAATCTTCCACAATCTTTATCTCAAGAAACTTTGACTGTTCTAAAACATTTATTAAATATTTCTGAAAATGTTTTGGTCTGGGGATTTATTTCTGCAAATAATATCCTTTTAAATACTTTATCTTAGAAATAATAACCCTTATAATATTTTTTTTTTTATTTTTATATCGAAAGTGTTCTGTATACAGAAAAAATTATTGTAAAATAAGTTAGAATTCAAAAAACTATAAATAAAAATAAACTTCTGTCCCTTGATAATTAGGATGTTTTTGGAGTTTTAACTCATTAGTAGGTTTTATGTTATGAGCTACACAATCCATAGAATAATACACTGTATTTTCATAGCAGGTGTTCTCGAAAGATTCATTTCATTCTTAAAATATGTTAAATGAATATTTGTTATTATATAATTTTTAATAATAATACTAAAAAAAAATTACAACAAAATTTTAATAGTATCAAAAGTTATATGAATTGTTAGTTAGATCTGTTCCACTCTGTATACAAATAATAAAACATATAAATTATTATTTAACTACTTTAATACTGCCTAAGCGTTTAGTTGGAATGTTTGAAGTAATTTATAATTCAGAAAACAGTCCTTCTTTAAAATTGGGATCAGAATGGAGAGACGTAATTATAAACCCCAATACTGTCAATTTGTACTTCCACGTAAGTATAGTTTGTTAAATATTATATACTTCATTATGTTTTACTATTTAATTTTAGATTTACTGGTTGGTTCGAAACAATCCACAATTTTCCCATCATTGTATGAATTGCCTTGTTCAGTTATCATCAATAAGTGGTAATATATGGGTTGATATGAATGAGCGTATGAAATATATGAAAAACTATCTAGACAATTTTATTAATTTAGTATCTACGTAAGTAAAACTTAAAATACTTCTGTTTATTATTTTGCAATTTTCTAAATATGGTTTCAGAGTAAAAATTTTAGATAGAGAATCGATTGGTATTTCTACTATTATCAAACGTATTATTAGTGGTTATCCTCCTTCAGTTTTCAGCCAATTTCCATCAGATCTTGTTAAAAAGTTCTTAGAAAATGTTACTATTCTAACTTGTCAGTTTGTTGAAGGGGCAGCTAATGAAGAAAAAGTATGATCTGGTTATATCTTTTTTTCCTTTTATATTTAACTTAAATAAACTAATACTTTTTTTTTCTTAGCTTTGTCAAGATGATCAAATGTTTTTTGAAGCATTTAATAATATATTACGTCCTTGGGTATCTATAATCTCAAATAGCAATCAAGCTTTCCCTGAAGATATTTGTAAAAATGCATCTATTCAAATTTTAAATACTTATTTAAAATGTCATATTTCACCTCCAAATGGTATAAAAACTTTTGTTGATGTTGAGTTTAATATAAATGAAGAAGATGATAAAGTAGCCTTTAAAGAACAGCTTCAATACATAGGAATTTTTGGAAGATTAGTAAGATAACTAAAATTTAAATGATTTTCATATTTCTCATTTATTTAAATGTAAAACATAAAACTAAAATATTGATCTATGTAACAATTATTCCACTCATCTAAATAATTGAATATCTTTCAATTTTCTTGGTAAAATATGAAATCAAATGCATAACTCATTGCTCTGACTAATATAAAATTAATAATATAGATTTTTTTTTTTTAATTTAAGATTCCAGAGCATACATTACCACTTCTGGTTAATCTATTAGAAAATCGAATCAAAGATTTAAGAACTGCTATAGAACATATACATAGTAGTGGCAGTAATAACTGGTCAGAATCATTTCAACAACATATTGATTCCATTCATGAAGATATGCATTGGATGTTTTTAATTGCTGGTAAATATCTAAATACTATTAATTTATAGTCAAACTTATTTTTTCCAAGAAAACTCAAACTATATTTTCAATGTATTTAGTTTTTCTTCAAATATGATTTAAAAATTAAATATAAATTGTTTATTTTGTATATTTAAATTAGCATTATTGTAAAAATTAAATGAAATCATTACATTAATCTTAACAATATATGCAAATAGGGAGACACTTTGGCTACTCAGCATCTCTAAATAGATTTACCATTCTTTTATAATGAAAAATAAAGTAATTACTTATATTATTGTATAAATAATTACTGCAGTAATTTTATTTATATTTAAATATTAAAAAAAATATATATTTTATTATATTGGTTTAGTGTGTCTTTCACTTTAAACATAATAGTATGTATTTATGTAATATTATACATAATTGTGTATTTATAAATAAATAAAAAGAAGGTTAAGTACATTATTTCAAGAGGAGTGATAAAAAATTATTTTATCCTGGAAGCACCTCCAAGTTTAAAACACTATTTGTGTCAATTATCTTAACAATAATAAAGTCAAATTATTCAAAATAATGTTTTTAAAAATATTACTCACTTCTCATTTTGAATAGTTTTAATCGACAATATTTTTAATCTCTAATTAGGACATGTCCTCACTGTGGATAGTGAAGGTGAACCTAGTATGATTCCTTCAGAAATTATGCATTATAGCATTAGACAAAGCAAGAAGATTAATATAGATTTATCTATTAAATATCTTATGAGTCAAATGTTAGTAATGGATGTTCCTGGATCAGAAGAAGCTGTAGATGATGTTATCAAGTAAATAATAGAGAGTATAACTAAATTCATAAAATACTAGTGTATTAAAGTATTACAGTATATAATTTTTTTTTCAAATAAATATCTCGTCTTCCATTTGTTACAATGTGTTTAACATATTTTATACATTTAATATGTATATATACAATGTTTTTTAGGTTAGTGTCTATTGCATTTCATTTATCAGAATTAGAAATGAAGCTTGTAGAAGCAAAAATGGAAATGCTTTGTAGTCCACTATTAAGTGGAACTATTGTGTGGTTTTTACGAGAATTTTCTCAAGCTTATTTAATGCCAAATGAAACATATTATAGTGAGGTAAATTTTTATGTTATTATAATTTATCTATTTAATAAAAAAAAATTAACATTAATATTTTATTTTATTTAGTTAAGTATGTCATTACTTAAAGCATTTGGTCAAAATACAGACACAGCTTATTGGATACTGAATTATTTGCTTTGTAAAGTTGAATATAATATAAGATCACCTTTGTATGTTGATGTAAATTTAGTTGAAGATACAATTGGCTTATTAATTTCGTTGGTTGATATTAGACATAAGTACGTATCAATTTTAGTATCTTGTAATATAACTGATTATTAGATTTGTAAGCAGTATTAAACACAAAATATTTTAACTAACAAACCAGATATAAATCTGTGATGAAGAACCAAAACCTTATATATGCCAAAAGTGAACTTTCCGAGAGAGTAAATAAAAAGTTTTAGTTTTTATAAAATTATATAATAATAATATTCAAATTTTAATGTTAGAGCTATAAATAATATATTTTGTCAAAAAAAGTGAACCATTTACAATACATAACGTGTAAAACCTAAAAATTTATTCGTGGGTCTTAATAAATAATTATTCAACAACTATTTTGTTTTAATCTTGAAAATTATGAAAGGATGAGCATATTCATTTTATTCAGTCAAAATTATTACAATTATTGATGATATAATTTTACAAAATTTAATTTAAAACATAACATTTTATTTTTGACTGTTACCTACATTTTTATCTTTTTTTATTTTAGAGCTGAAATAGTTATAAATTGCGAAGGTTTTGGAAAACTTTTTCAATTGCAAGAAAGTATCCATAAAAATCAATTGGTACCTGAAGTTAAACGTGGGTTGTTTAAAGCATTTTGTTTAGTAGGAGATGCATTTAACAATGAAGAAAAACAATATGAATATTGGATGCGAGTAAGTAATAGTGAAACTGAATGTTTAATTAACAAACTTAATAAAAAGATTATATTTTCTGATTTGAATTATAAAGGTTTTAAATCCAACACTTGATAAGTTTAAAAAAATAATAACCAATGACCAGTTTAGAAAAATTTTTAATGAAGATGAAATTAGATTGGAGATAATGGATATTTTACACAAATTTATAGGAGTAGCTAGTGGAGCAGCAATAAATACTACACAAACAATTTTTTCAATTTTGTATCCAGTGCTAAATGATTTTTCATCCCTGATTGGCTTATATCATAATTACCAACTAATAGTTCATTTAATTCTTGAACTATTTTGTGAATTTTCCAAGAAAATGTTATGTTTTCTTAGAGTGGTGAGTCAAGTGAATATTTTTATTTTATTTTTTATAAAATATTTAACTCTTTATAATTTATGATAAGCTAACAAAACTATTTTAGAAGTTATATGTTATATAATATTAACTATAATTTTAATAATGCTCAAGCAATACATTTTTTATAGTATTATTCAACAAATTTAGCATGATATTTAATTATACTATTGTGATTTTGAAACCACTTTATCATGGATGTGGATTGAAAAATTTGTCTGTGAGGGCAATTTCATAATTTCAGATAATAGATATGATGGAAAGCATTTTTACTAAATTGTTTTATCTCCCCCTTTTCCCAAAAAACTCAATCCATATGTAAAAACTATAAATATTTCTATGGGGACTAATACTTTTTTCAAAGTAAAAGTTTGATTTGATTTTTTAAATTTTTAGTTTATTTTTTAATTGAACAGAATACCTCAAGATTTTATTGTGTTCAATTAGAACATTACTAATAATTACCATAAATTTTACAAGTATAGAAATGACTATAATACATTTTAATTTGAGTATATTGTTATAGGAAGATAGTGATAAGTTTTATTCGTCTTGCTATCAATTAGTGGATATGTATGCTCGTTTCAATATTAATCGTGTTTCTTTAGATTCTGATGCTGAAGATCAGAGTTACCAAGATCTTTACATATTTTTAGATCTTCTTACTCATATGATGTCAAAAGAAGTTTTAGATCTTAGTTCTGATGGTATAGTTCATTTTCTTATACTAAAATTTTCTTTAATTTTTTATAAACATAAACAGAGTAATTTTTGTTATCATAAACCACTTAATTACTAACAGAATAAAAATAATTTTTAAATATTTTTGTTTTTTCAAATATTTTAGGATTAATAAAATGGTTGGCTTTTTATTTTAACAGCAAATAGCATTTGAATTTTTAACAAAACTTCATTCGTTTATTAAAAATAAAACTCTAAAATTACAAATTATTGAGTTAATTTATGTGTATAATGTATGAGGTTATAGATACGCAGAGTTTATAGTTAATTATGACTTTATCAATAGATATGCTTAAAGTATAATAGTAAGGAACTTTGTTGTGAGTTTATAAATACACCAACTGGCAATACAGAAAGTAAGTATTACATAACTAATAATTCAAGAATAATATGTAACTAAACGTAACAAAAAAAAAATTTCAAAATTATTTTTATTCTGTTAGTAATTGAGTGGTGGTTTATGATAAAAAAAAATCTCCCTATATATATATGGCTATTTTAATGTAACTTATCCACTTTTATAAAATAAGGAAAAAGCTCTAATGGAAAAACAGCTGGAGATGTCTGTGTTTATGGACTTCAAGTTATTTTACCTTTAATGACAATTGATTTATTAAAGTTCCCATCATTATGTTCTCGCTACTATAGAGTAAGTATTAATGTTTTGTTTTTATCATTTTTGAAGTACTAATTTTAATTGGATTTTTTAATTCCCACATAAGTATAGGATAAGAAAAAAATGTTGAAGGTACTAAATCTCAATCTCTCCTATATTAAAAAGTTTTTTTTATTTAAAATACATAAAACATTTTTGGTATGGCTAACTTTTTAACAAAGGCTTAGCTTAGCTTCATAAGCCTCTCCCTACACTATACAATATCGTTATAATATTAAAAATGTTGAATGATTATTATATCATTATTTTAATAGAAGATATTTATTTAAATGTGAACATTAGATTCAAAATATTTCAAAATTATATTAATAATTTTATTTATTGTTTTTAAAAATTCCACTTTTTTTTTTTTAGTATATTGGTTTTATGTGTGAAATGGTACCTGATAAATTATGTATTGATAATGTAGAGATTTTTAAAAGTGTGTTAACTACAACTGAATTAGGATTAACAATGTTTGGACCAGAAATTACCTCAATGAGTGCTGATTTTCTACAAGCATCTGCTTCATATTTGTATGGCAAGGAAAACTCTACATCGTATGAAGCTTATGGATTACTTAAACCTTTTTTAAAAGTAATTTTTGTTATTTATAAACAAAATTACATTGTTATAAATCAAATTATTTATTTTTTATAGATTTTAATGGAACTTATTGTTTCCTGTCAAATTAGTTCTGATACATTGTCTAATACTGGTCATGTACTTTACATATTGATATGTTGTTACCCAGTAAGTTTGAAGTTATTATTTGTTATAGATTACTAATAAACAAACAGACTTATTTGTTATTGGCTTTACTTTTCTGTAGAGCCAAAAAGAAATATATTTATTTATAAGTATGTTGGTATATATCACAATTAAAGGATCAGAAAACGTATCAACTTAAAAAATTGTTTTATAACTATAATATACAGTATTTTTCATAGAACTTAGTGTTATAACAATAGAGCACTTAGGATTAACCTTTTAACTTTAGTAACATGCCTTAAAAATTATTTGGTTCTAAAACAAATCAACAAAAAAAATGGAATACAATTGTTTAAGAAAATTAATTCATTTTTTTATTGATTCCTTACAGTTTTTTTCATCTATTAATTAATTTTATTGAATTAATTATTAAGTCCAACATTAATTTTTTCAATTAATTTAAAGTCCAACAAATAAATAGGTTCATTAGTAGGACACTAATTATTATATTTTATGAACTAAAAAATGAAGTGTAGCTTAAATAAAATATATGTTGATAAAAATTTCCAATGTGGTGTCCTATCTAATGTAATCTATTTTTATTATTATTTTTTTTTGATAAATTAAAAATCTACTTTGTATTTATGCAGAGAATCATTAATTTAATTCTATATTTTTAAAAATATTATTTTTATCACATAAATTATTTAAATGATAATGTAGTATAAAGTAAAAAGTATATTACTATGATATTTAACGTATTAACTTTAAAAAAAATTAATATTTTAGGAAGAATTTCAAGAGATATCAATGCAATTAATTAATAATCATAACAATGTGTTAATATCAGAAAGATTGAGAAATGCATTTGCATCTCTAACCTATAATATTGAATTTAATGGACAGCGAATTATGAAGTGCCGCTTTAAAGAAAATTTTGACAACTTTTTAACTAATGTACATGGATTCTTATTTGTTAAATAATATATTATGTTTAACAACTCTATTATTGTTAATAAAAACTTGTATTATGAACTATCTTGTAAAAATAGTTAAAAAAAAAACTTTTAATGAAATAGTAGAAAATGATTTTTAAATTTTAATTGTCAAAAACTGTGAATTTAAATAAATTGTTAAAACTGCTTTTTTTAATAATGAAAAAATTCATACATTTTTGTCTGTATCTTATTATTTAAAAATCTGTCAAAACATTTTGTAATCAACTTTGACAATTTTTAAAAATATTATTTTTATTGACTTGGTAACACCAAATTTTAATTCCGTCACTCAATAAACTGGGAAATCTAAACGGTATTCAGTTGACTAAAGTTATTAGAAGACAACACAGCAAAATAGTCCCATTGAAAAACAACTTCAATAAACACCGTATTGCATTCTACAATCAAACAGTATACACAACCAGAAATTTACAGTAATTATTTCAATAATATAAAGGATAAGTACAAAAACTACCAAGAAATATACACGGACGTTTCAAAAGACGAAAGAGAAGTAGAATTTTCTATTATAAAAAATGAATCAAAATACATGAATAAACTATCAAATAAATGTTCAATACATTCCGCTGAAGCTACAGCTTATTACACGATAATTGTCATTATTAATAACACAGAAAATAACAAGTCTATCATACTAAGCGACTCGCTAAGCATTATCAAAAAATTTACAAAACAATTTCAACCTTGTCAAAATTTGGACAAAAACAATAAAGCAAATAGAAAACTAAAAAAAGAAAATGATATAATAATAGTTTGGGTACCAGTTTCATGTCGGAATAAAAAGCACGAAATAGCTGATGAATATACAAAAAAAACTATAGAAAACACGGGATCAAACAATATAGACATCATGACGTAAAATGACATAAAAAAATATATCAAATACGATACCATACAAAACGGGCAAAATAATTGGAAAATTAAAATAACAAAATCGTTGAAATAAAGAGTACTACAATTAGATAGCCCAGAAACACAACCACTAGTATTAGTAATGGAAAAATTAATAAAATCCGCATCAGACATACACGGCAAAATTATGGTTTTCTAATAGAAACCTTTAATATGTTCAAAGTATACCTTTATCGATCATACATATTTTTAAAGATTGTAGAAAATGCGAAGAGGCCAGAAAACTGTTCAAAATAAGGCAACACCTAGCTGAGAGCCGCGGACCACACCCAGAAGATGAAATTAAATTTTTTAAATGTACAGATTTTTAAATATAGTTTTAATTATTCAATAATAAATTATTAATTTTCTTATAGATCCATTTACACTAATGGAAAATAAAATCGTTCACTAATGGGGTCGCTGTTGAGGAATGCTGTGACTGAGTCGGTAACGGGGCAGTGTTCAACGCGCAATGCCGTCTCTGGTTCGAAACTCAATCGCGGGCGGCTTCATTTGCCGAACGAGAGATCAGCTCGGTAATTGGAGTCGCCATCCCTTTCTCAAGCAATGAACTAACCACCCTTCCCGGAATATAAATGGTTAAGAAACCTCCTTGTTTTGGGGGAGGCTGCTATGGCCCTTAATGGACTGATGAAGCGAGAAAAAAAATGGCCATTGTTGTCAAAATATACAATAAAAAAAAATCATGCATCTTTGTATTTTATTATTAAAAAAAAACCCAGCACAGGGGGGTCGCGGCACGGTTCACAGTGGGACCAAACGCTGATTTAGCCGGCCAAAAGTACCATTTTTAAATCAACTAATAAAAATTTTTTTTTTAGCAAATTTTTTTTATTATATCCTTATAAGGTCATGTACAAAAATTCAAGGCCAAAAATTGATATAGTAATGGTTGGGTGCTATTTAAATATCATAACACTGTATTTTTTTGTTTTTTTTCTAGGATTTTTATTATTTCTTCAATCATTTTTTCCTGCTTAATTAAAAACCTAAATTTTTTTTTTTTTAATTTAAAATGTTTAAAAAGTCATCGGCTTTCAAATTTACTAGGAAAAAATTTTTATTTCTTTTTTTTTTTAATTTTAATAATTTTTTACACACAAAAAAAATGCAAATACTTATTTTACATTGTTTTTTAAAGAGTTTAACTCAAAATTACGCAATATTACGATTACACCAATACATGCATGTTGTAGAAGAACTCTTAAGCTACAATTACAAAAAAAAAAATTTTGCGTCAGATTGCATTTGAGCCCTGCACATAGAATTTCCCTATAATAAACGTGTATTTTTGTAAAAATTGTAATTTTAAT